TCCTTAAGCAATGGGCGGTTATGGCTTAGTTCCACTTTCATAAAAAGACAAGGGAGTCTACTTCAATAACGTCAATTACACTGCATGAACAACAATGATCAAAAGCAACTCGGACACCATGGAAACTACATATAACAGACGTGCGAAGTCTTTCCTCCATCCAAAAATTTGCAAAAATTGGAGGGTTGTCAAAAAGATGTTAAGTTATTATGATTTTGTTGCAATACATCGACCATGATTGGAGCAAGTAACATCTGGTGACAAAAATTCAAGACTGAGTTTCTGATGGCTTATTTTGTGTTTGTCTGTTTGTTTGCTTTTCATTTTGATTTCCAGTCTTTAAAGACGAGGAGTATGGTCGTCAGAGGGAAATAAATAGAAGGAACTCAGATTCTGTCGTCTATATAAAACCTAAAGAAAATGAGACGGCAGCTGTACTGTCTTCATTAAAAACAGCAGAAATTAAATTTCAGCAAGAGAAAATTGAAACACTGGAAAGTAAAATCGACAGGATTTCGAAGGTATACAGAGAACAGGAAGAAAGAGATCTAGAAATTCATCAGCTTGCACATGTCGCCGATCAGCCAGACGATGGTATGAAATAGCACAATTCATTTTCTATGATATAGATAATTATTCATTTGTCGTGTTGCTTAAAATTTTTCCATACTTACTTCCTGCCTACAACAGGAGACTAATTAATATCATATCTTTCTTAGAATCAGCCTGACAAAGCTTAGCAAATAAAGAAAACCTAAGCAAGTCATTTATTTAGAGTCTTTTCCGCGAAACATTTAAGATCAAACATATAGTAAAAAAATCTTGCACGGCAATCTTAAGCCCCGTTAAACAATCAAACATTTGCGTTCAATATCGTGTGTGTTCCACAAAACTTCGGGTGGCCAATTGATCAAATATTTACTCGTGATGCAAAATGTTCGATGAAAATGTTTGATCTGGATCAAACATCGAAATACATTAAGATTTAATGTTGGAAAAGGTGGCTGAACAGTAAAACATGTTCTTCCAACATGATTTTGAATGAAAATGTTTGATGGCATAGCTGTGGCTTTAATTTATATTATCTGCCCTCAGATGGTGCACATGCTTATTTCAGTTGGAGAACGTTACGACCACAAGGCAGGGCAATAATGAAAACACCGATTCTGAGTATTAGAATGCATTTGGATCGATGGAGGCCCACATAAAAAGCTGTGGATGCCCACCGAAAATAGAATAATAAAATGGCAACAAAATTTGGGATGTACTTGGCGATTCACGAAAGCGTTACCGCGGCCCGTGGGCAGAGATAGGAAATAAACTGACCGGGTAAAGAACCAGTCAGCTTGCAGGACTCGTTACCGTGCCCTCTAAAAAAAAAGTAAAGTAAAGTTATCGCATCATGATTCTCATGATAATGTCCCTATTTTACTCTTTCCCAACCTTCTATCTACTTATATACGAGGGAAGCGCCCTTGGGGCGAGTCGAAAGACAAACAAGGAGTAAAAATACTCAGCGATACTACATACCAAAACGTCTAATAAGTTATTTATTATCCAAGTGCTTTTTCTTCTGCTAAGTCTTTCTGCTAATTTCTCAAAAGGAGTCATCATTTTTATCACATTATTTGAAGGTGTGCTACATTATTTCTATTTTGTGACGGAAACTACGCCTTAAACACTAAAAGGATCCTATATCTTTTAGGAGTGTTTGCACTACAACATAGCCACATGTAATGCAGGAGCTTCTGGAATACTTGCAGTTATTTAATTTAATCCTAATAGTTTTAATATCAACTTGAACATATCTTTTTTAACAGAAATTCGCAGAGATACACCACCTCCTCCTTATTTGGACTGGTCCAGAAGGGAGAATATCGATACATATTTAAGTTATCTCCCATCGAGACGCGGATCGTTTTCGAAGGACAGCAGTTACGGTTCAGAAAAGGAATTTGGAGAAATTTTGGGTGATTCTTTAAGAGATGAAGATCAAAGTAAATCATCGCTTTTATCTCTTTTGTTTTGTTATGCTCATCTATTTTTCAAACCTTTTATCGGTTAATCCTCGGCTCCCAGTGGAGTTTCCCCGAATGCTTCTCGTCTAATTGATTTGTTCACGAAGGCACTAAAACAGAAACACATGCACATCACCTGAAATTTTTGCATAGAGCTGAAGCTCGAATGCCACCTTTATAATTTGCCGAAATAACCACCTCTCATTGCCATTTTTTCTTTAACCGATCAGTAACACCTGTCGCTTCTGGGATGCCCCCCCCCCCTCCAACTTCAATAGGATGGCCTTCAATCGCTGAAGGGATTCTGAGTGAGTAATGAAAGATACACGTAGAAAAGAAAAATGCTCAAAGAAAGGTTCAGAAAAAGTAAAGTTTAAGGTTTTTTGTAACTTTTGTGAGCCAATAACTTGGTTCTGACAACCTGAAAGCGCACTACCTAGTAATTAAAACGTTTGCACGCGCGTAGACATTTAACCGCCGCATTCCAGAGACCGGAGCCTCAAATAGTGTATAAGTTATTGATCTCAATTAAGAGATAAAAAATAGGACTTGTTTGAACACTCTCGACTTGACCGTTTAATATGCTCTCGAGGGGGGATATTTCCATGATGTAAGATTGCCTTAGCTGTTAAAGATGGCAATAACGGGAAACAACGATTTTGCGGAATAGCAGTCCGGCGGAGAATTCCTGATAGCACTTGAGATGCTTGACGGAAATGTTAAATTGGAACGCTGACGAAGAACGAGCTGTTTGTCTTACCTTGATTTTTGTACATTCCTAAAGTTATGCTGAAATGTTGCAAATTGTTTTCCCATGTACACTACTCTGATGAAGGACCTGTTCATATTTCAGACCTCTTTCACACATGGAGGCTGAGTAACGAAGGAGAATTTTGCAGGGAGCCACCGAGGTTCAACGTACAAAAGCACGACCTTGGACCGCCGACATATTCTTTTAAGGCCGAGGAAACGCACGGTAATTATTGTAATCAATCTTTTGTGAACTCTGGTTGTTCGAATCTGCGTGCAATATCTGGGGTGGGCTGTATTTCTTTGTAGACCTTATTCTATTGTTGAACTTTTAATGAGGGCAATGAGGAAAGTGTTCGTTTGTATTCTAATCGTATGAAAGATTTATTAGTCAACAACTATTTCATTTGCTCGTATTTTAGCTTTGAACTTAGTTTTTAAAAACAATCTACAGCATTGTTTGAGAATCGAGAGACGAGGTTGAAGTCTCTCAAAAGCTCTACAATTAAATTAATAATTATTAAAGGAGCATAATGAAAAATTATGAGCAAATGCCATTTTTTCTGGGGTGACGCTCAAAAGCACAATGCTCAAATTTTCAAGCTCACTTTTCTGGACTGGTAAACAATTTGAGAAGTTTTGGTGCGTAACCCATTCTTTTTGCCGTTTTCACACTATAGACAAACTCGTGATGAAATTGTTCAGGTTTGGTCGTTACTACGGATAACTTTAATTCTGAGTTTTAGGTCTGGTTCGTGTAAACTCAGCTAATAACGTCACTTTAGCCGTGATGTTATTGGCTGTAAGTCTCAATCACGACTTATCGTAAGTCAGTCGTGATTGGTCAGTTTCGATCCGTCGGTACAGTTAGGTCGTGCTGTTCGGTTCGTTTTAGATATTAATATCGTACATAAGTCGTTTGTATGGAGCCGATAGTAATTGACACCTGTTTAGGGGAGTCTGTAAACCAGCTTTCCAGATTCAGTCGTTGAAAATTATTAGTGCTGCGCAGAGTTCCAGTCAATAGCGTGGTTCGTAAGTCGATAATGTTCAGCAAGTTGATTGTTGACATCACCTTTTCTCGTCGCTCGGCTGAACTGACCAATCAGCTTACACCATGCAGGTTATCGTTTAAGACATACAAGCACGTAAAAAAAACAAAAACGGAATAGTGAGTTCTTTTCTTTTCTCCTGTTAACAGATGCGTTCAAAGTAGAGGCTGGAAGAGAAATAAAAATCTTGTTTTCGACGAAGGATGCGAAAGGAAATCTTTTTTATGAGGCAGATAATCAAGTTGGTGTAAAAATTCAGGCTTCGTCAGGAAACTTTGTAAAAGAGAAGATTGAAGACAATCTGAATGGTAACTACACTGTGAGCTTCACACCAGATATTGTAGGTCCGCACAGCGTAACAATTACAGTGAATGGTCAGCCGCTGACTGGCAGTCCCTGGAGTGTAGAGGTGTCTCCACATCAATACAAACGTGTGTTTGATATAACAGTGGATGAAGGGTCGTTTTCCCCTGCTTTTGCGGTTAACAAGGAGACTAACGAGATCGCAGTCATGTGGTATAAATTAATGCTAATACTTAGTGCTGATCATTCATTGGTAAGGCATTTTTGGTTTGAGGACATCATACTTTCCATGGACTTCACCATAAATGGCAGTTTCGTTGCAATTCTGCTTTCCAACCTCAACAAAAAATTGTACTTGATTGACGAAAGCGGAAAGTCAATTAAAGAAATCGGCCAAGGGTACCTGACATGCCCGATGGCGGTGTCTGTTTCGCACGATGGAAGCATAATCGTTTGTGACCGGGGTAACCATTCAGTAAACGTCATCTCCCCTGATGGTACAAAATTATTACAGTCCTTCAGCGCTCCATTTCTTCTAGAATTCCCGCGGTTTTCTGTTTATCATCAGGACATGTTCTTTGTGTCCTATGGCTGGCGGGATGCTTTCGTCAAAACGTTCAACAAAGACGGAGTGTTTCTGTATGATATTTGTGGTGATGAATCCGCTGAGGAACGGTTGAGGTGGTCACCTGGTTTTGCCATTGACAAGTTTGACAACCTGATTGTGAGTGAGGATCATAAGACGCTTAAGGTGTTCACAGTGGAAGGCAACTTTCTTTACAAAATAGAGGTCGAACAGAAAATAAATTCAATAGCTGCATCTAATGCCGGCAACTTGTATGTCGTTGATAATGACTGTATCCATGTTTTTCAGTAGCTAGTGAGCCAGTTATTGTACACCTCGTCAGCTTATCCTCGTCCAGAAAAAAGGCCAATAACCCTTCGCTCGTTATCAATGGAAAGGAAACTAAAAAACTTCCCTACTGTTAAAGAGGTTCCTCATGTGACTTAATCACTTGTGGACGACTCTTATTACAGGCATGGGATGTTTAAATTGTCGCAACAGTGTTTACTTTGAAGAAAACGGTGACGATTTAAGGATGAAGACATCTGAAAGTTCTTTAAACTTTGAGCAAAACTTTTAAAAACTCCTTCTCTGATATTTCGTTATTTCTGCCTTTTATTCGTTGTTGAATTGTTAAATTTACTTGCGAATCTCAGTGTCATCGGTTTGAAAAGATAAAAAACGTTAATTTGAACTGTAGACTAAAAAATAGTTGGGTAAAATGTATATCTATAAAATAAGAAAAAAAACACACCGCAGATGTCACCTGAAGTAACTTTAAAGATAAAATAGTTGAACGAAGCAAACCGAACAAAGCTCAACGAACGCTCATAGCAGAATGGGATGGCATAATCTACTGTAGCTTTAAGTCTTAGTTTTTAATTTGAGAAAATAACACGACTTGTCATTGTCATTGTATTTCTTCACTACTATGTGTAAAGGTCATAACTGCTGCAAAAATAAAGATCAAAGGCGAAACAAAATTTGTTTTTTTTTTTATTTAGCGGTACCTTGCGATCGTGACGAACAGTTCCAAACCATGGGTTTGTGGGCTCCTGATTGAGGTTATAAGGAAATAGTTGCGATGGTTTTTTGGCTTTTGTTATCAACATCTCGATAATTGAGCTCAAAGGTTTTTCATATGGAAAGGACCAGACTGAAATCTTACTTTTAATTAATCTAGATCCTCATCGATAATTGAAAATTTTTTTCCGGCTAACCCACAGGGTACCCAGGCTAGGGTCCCGCTGCAACTCTTGCTGTCATGACGTCAACTCCTCTTCCACACTTTTAACCGTAAAAATGTCCACTGATCATCGAGACAATCTCATTAATTCCCGTTCCGAACAGTTTATTACAAATACTTTGCAACAGCAGTCACACCTAAAATTGTATCCCAAACCCCATCCCAGCTTCACCTGATTTACAGTTTTTAAGGCTCTCGCAATTTAATGTTCTGTACAACGAGCTTCAAACTCATCTAATAATTCCCAAGCTAATGGGTAAGAGATAAATATTGCACAATGCTGTATATTGTAAATTTGTTTCCATTTACACATGAGCATACTGCTACCACTGCGCGGAGTGGAAATTACTTCATTACGCAGCAGTGATTCCTACTGAAAGCATCACCCAGGGAAATCGTTATGGTTCGGAGATGTGGGAATTTGTAAACAAATCCCAAAGGTTTCCCAGGGGAAGAACAAAGTTAGAAAAAAGGTTGCACCCAGTACTGGCGCAAACACATCAGATGAGATATTACTGAAAAAGATGGCCGCGAATGCAGTCAGCTCTCATCGTCACTGCCCTTAACCAAACGTGAATTATAGAACAGCACAATTGGCTGAAAGCAAACAAAAGGTAGCATACGTAATAGGCTTTTGATTTAAGTGACACGCACGCGCAGAAAGTCGCGCCCGCGAGAGACTGAGGTCAGTATTGGGGCACGCCACTGAGACAAACGGAGCTCTATTTCGCGAGTCTCTAGTGGGGGCTTTATTAAAAGGTTATCGAGTAAGTTGCCGAACTATAACATGAACTCGTGAGTAATTGACTAGAAAATTGCAAGGTTAAACGAAGTAAGCGTGGTCAGTGAGTTACTGCTCACGACCTAAATCTTCGTCTATTATCAGTTATGTTGAGACTTTAAAGCGACGGGTAACGGCGTTGAACACTACCTCTCTCTGTATGCGCTAGAATGGGGAGTTACTCAGAATAATTTTCCGTGTGAATGATAACAGCTAGAACTGAGCCATACACTTCCGTGTGGTAAAGATTTCACTTACAAACTCTTGGTCAAAAAGAAATATGCGCTTTATATATAAAATAATTACGATGCGTATTTCAACAAAATAGTACTCAGACTCTGTGTGGAATAAATAGCGATTTAGCTCACGAATGCGACACATGGTCATCATTAGTAGCATTGACTTCTGCTTCTGGCTGCACTGAATCATCGCCCCTCTGGCTGTCTTCAGAGTCTCCTGTTTTTGTCTTCTTAAACCGATGTTGGTGTTCAATCTCGAGGCACTCTCTTTTGGTCAGCGTTGTTCCCATGGTAACCACACTGAAGGGGCGGTCGGTCAACAGCGTCTCCGCCGCTTTCGACAAGCAGCAAGAATCACCTGAGCCCGCAGACGCCGGATCATCAGATCCAGCTGACAATCGACTATTCTCTTCGCTTGCGCATGTGTAGCTACTCAAGCCACCTAGGATTAAAGACAAGGTTTGTTTGGTCACGTCACTGTTGCTGGTCTCCAGTGCCTTCTCTACATCACCTTCTCCAAAACCGTCGTCGCTGTTATTTTCGCTTTCAACGCTGTGATTAATCGGTGACATGCCATTGTTTGCTGTTGTCTGGTGGCCGTTGTCAATACTTTTTTTAACTCCTATCACATCCTCGATCACTCCATCCAACTGATCGCCACCAGCTTCGTTATCATCGATTTCTCCCACACTGTCGCTGTCACTTTCCTCACTTGTACTATCTAAGAAGCTCGTCATGTTTCTTGAGGGGGAGGGGGAGGGAGAGGGGAATGGCGAGTCCATCAATTCGGCACCGTAGAAAATATAACGGCTGGGCGGTTTAAATACGAACCGGGGAAAATCTGGAAATGATGAGTTATGAAAATAAACAAAAATTAAAAAACTCAATATGAGGGAGTTTCTACTACTCCCAGTTAATCTATATTAGGTCAGAGGACAGTCGATCCGGTTCTTTTCACTGCTGCTATGTGTTAAGTTTCATGGATCTTCCCTAGAAGACTACAAAACTATAAAGAGCATATAAAATATACCTTCTTCACATATTGTGTCGTTGTTTGTAGGATGTTTATTTTCTTCTCCACTAGCTGAAGCTCTCGGGTGCTCTCGGTTTAACTCGTTACCAGTGTCACTACAGCCACTACTCTCACCAACAGTCACGTGACCGTCGAGTTGATTGGGTGTACTTACAGCATCTCGCACTTGCGTTTCATCGGGCAATATGTCTTCATTGTTTGGTACATTCTGCAGTGTATAAAAATCAACATTTCGTCTAAAAAAGACGGCCAATGGTCTGGTAATCAATCAATGCTTTAGTTTTAACTTGAAACCATCATCAGGGAAAACTGATTAAAGTAAGGTTAGAGACAGAAATGGGGGGGGGGGGGGTTAAGGGAGAGGAACATTGCCTAAGGGGTATTTCCGCGAATTTGAATTGTACTAGCAGCACCAAATCAAAACTGAATGAGTTGGTTGAAGAAAAGAAAAGGCAACCATTAAACGAAACCGCTTCTGCTGATAAGAACAAACAATACAGTTTGTAGCAATCTTGTTCGAGCAATTTTTAAAAGGGTTGATCACGTGACTTCTTTTTTTCCCGTAAACTCGATGATTAGGCCGGTATCGACTGGTATGAATCACCACAGTCTTTCTATTTTTGTACTTCATCAAATTTTAGCAGCAAGTTTACCGATAAATTGTCACGTGACCAGCCGGTCTTTGTAGAGCAAAGGCACTCCGGGATTGTACTGGGCTTGCTTCATTTTCTTCAGTTATTGTTCAAGAAAACTAAAACCGATCGCAGCTTAGCCACTCCCAATTTCTCGCAAATGAGACAGTTGTTTAATCTGAGTTCTTGTTGCCTCCTTGGAATAATACTTGTTGTAATTGGTCTTCCTGGTTACTTTGATTCTGTTTTTGCTGTTGTTTATTATTCTTTAGCACGCAAACAAAAACGCCCTAACACCTATCCATTCTACTTACCTCAGAAGTTTCTTTCTCTCCCAACGAGTGACCCCTCTCTTCGATACGTTCCTCATCTGAAGTCAGCTTCGCTGGCAAAGATCGCAATCTTTTCACACAAGGAATTTCCAAATCATCTGACAAACCGCTCCAAGTCCCACCCAGCCGCTGACAAAGCTCGGAGATGATGACGTCACAGTCGCCCAGTAACTCGACATCAAATGTCAGATGTTTAAGCGGCTCTCTGTTGATAAGCACCTGTGGAACCTCAGGTGGCACGTGACCTATAGTGAGCAGCGCCAAAGGTAAACAAAACTACCATTCACTAAGTGATAGCAATTTATACATCATTAAAATTTCTATCGTTTTAATCCAAGGTTTCATCTCATAGCACAAATGCCACTACTGTGCACTAAAATATACAGTTGATGCGATCCTGCTCTCGATAGCTATGAAATCAATGGGAAGCAATACTGCTTTGCACATGAAAAACAAATCGTCAGCATCAACAACTAAGAGCCGTTACAAGACACATTATGGTTTATCAAATACTTAACTGGGAGCGGTTTAAAGGGAGGAAAAGTGAGCGGTTAATAAGAAGGAAAAAGACAATTAACCCTCAATTAATTTCCGCTTTACGCTTACACCGGCTTCCGATTGAGTCAACAATAAATATACAAGACCAGATAAATTGTACAAAAACTTACTTGGAATCAGGGCAACTGGTCGAACTTTTAAGGACGATCCAATGACTATCAGAAGATCAGCCTACAACAGAACAGAACAGTGACACAAGAAACTTCAACTCTGCTCACTTAGGCCAGGTTTCATAGTTTTCCACGAGTTTCTCTTCCGGAAAACAGTTTGCTTCTTGCAACACATAATGTCCACGAAAAAATATGCAAGCATATTTTCGAGCCAAGTGAAGGCTATTGTTCATGTATATGAGATGTTTATCGGGGGATCGCTATAATAGACAGAGCACAATTAACTCCACCTTCTGATCACAGAAGGTAGTTCACTCAATATTACCACAAACAAATGAGGTGATATTCTGCACAAAAAACACTAACCCATCATTTTACATA